ACTTCAAGCACAGAGGACTCTTATACTTTATTAATCTCTAGATTTCAATGGACTTTGCCATCTTCATCAGGAGCTGCAATAACATTGAAAAAAATAGCAACTATTGTGCAAAATGATTTTAAATTAACTTAAAGTAGTATGTGAGAGTGTCGCTAAATGTTATTAACGTTTAGGTTGAGGGAAACACCCAGTCACCTGGTAAAAGCTGCACACATGTTACACTCGTCAAAATTAATATAAACTACACACAGCTGTAGGTCGGGAACAGACTAAAACGGATTAAAAATATTTAAAACGAAAGTTAAAATTACATCGTGAACCACCTGATGCTGCACAAAATGGTGGGCACAGGATCTTAAGTAGGATGAAACATTTGACAGATGACAGAAGGTTGGTGATGTCAGTGATTTTTGTAAAGTGTGTGTTATGTTGCCAAATCACTTCAGATGGTGTGATTTATCAAGATATGTTAAATAAGAACTTGACAACCGACCAGAAGCAGTTGAACAAACTATATTGTTGAAGAGATGGACAATTAAATTAAACAATTATTATTTTATTATGAGAAAAAACAATTATTCAAATTTGAATGGTATGGAAATTTTGGAGGAAAAGGGTGGAATAGACCAAACAAAAAAACACATTCCATTTATGGTTGTGAAAGGTCAAAATTGGCAACCCGTTGAACTGGCAAGAGACATCAAACGAGTCTTTATCACCATGTACCGATGCCAATGTTCCCGATATTAATGAAGACAAATCCTGGATGGCTGAACCGATTGATGCGACTATAGGTGTTACTAAAAAAATTGCTGAATTTCAAAAATGAGAGAAATAAGAAATAATTATATTTACTGTACTCGTACACTGTCGAAGTAAAAATCATATACATGCTAACAGTAATTATACACAACACGGGCGCGGTGATGATTTCCCGTAATTCTCCTCAATTTTTCGTAATTTATAACTTTGAACATAACCTTTCTTCAGAAAGCACAACATAAATAACCCGTCATGTTCAGTAATGATTTTCTCATACAGCAAATATCACTGATTTTATACACATGCAGACCAATACACAAAATCATGCAGATGCGATCTTGCTATTCAACCAACTTTCTTCTCAGAGATAGAAACTACAGACACGGACCACTAAGCCTCACAAAACATACGCAACCAATAATGCGTGTAGCTTAGTTGAGTGATTCCTCCATAGATGCACGTTCACAACGATTCTAGTGAGCAAACGTGGAATGACTGTCTGCGTCCTAAAAACTACCTAGTCTGCAAGTTGACATCTTATAGGTTTTTTTTTGACGTTTTATAAATTTTTTACATGATACCATGGACACGCTAATACAATTTCCCGCCTCGTGTAAAGCGACTCTAAGATGATACAACAGTTAACTCTGTTTTTTATTTATCATCCTTTCTTTTGTTTTCCATTTTTATGCGTACAAAGAGTAGTTCTCATCCTTTTCGCGTGGGAGTGTCATTTATTCCCTCCTGTGATATTCTTAGTACTATTTTTTATTCTAATTTACTATGTAAATGAATTGTACTATACTATATTACATTATTTTACTGCTAGGCGAGGTCGTACGCAAAAATTAACATCGCTGGGATTTTCTTTATTTTGTTTGTGTAATTAGAGCTTATGCACATAGAAAAGAGTCTAGGCGCTTCGTAGTAAATTAGAGAAACAAAATGTTTGCTGAGATTTTATGAAATTTCAGCTTCCAGCAAAACATTATCGGTTGTATCCGCATCCGAAGCTGTCGACACGGAGTTTGATGAAATGCTACTTAATTTAAAAAATAATTTACGTTTGTATTGCAGCTGTGAGTAGTAGATGGAAGTAGTTCTCATATTTATAACTCTCTTTATTCTACATAGATATAAATCCAACGTCTCATATCAGGAAACTGGATTAATATCTTAGACTATGGAGATTCAACATTGCTATCCGTTGATTTCATGGAAAAGGTTCATATATCTTCAATTTATGATATAACTAACATATATAACAAAATTCGATTAACAATTGGAAATTAATAGTAATTATCCGCACAATAAAGTTTAACCTGATTTTGAAAATTTTCAAAGCAATTCAAAATACATTTTTTATGAACATTATATTTTTGCGCACTTCGGTTATTTTGGAAAAGTAATGCACTGTATGCTATACAAAAACAAATTTTCGAAAAGTCTTAATCAATTTTATAAGTACTAATTTAGTTTTTCAAATATTCTTCAAGTATCTAGGGCGCACCGCTTTTCCTAAGTACGAATAAAGAATCCCGTGCCATGATTGTGAAAAATATTTTTTATAGGTAGATATAATGAAGATCTGAAGCCAATTACGATCTGAAATGAACTTTGGAATTTTGCTTCACCAAAAAAAAATATGCGCCCACTGAAAATATTGGGAGACCTTTAAACCAATGTTGAGGATATTTTGATGCTTTATATTGACAGGTCTCATCTAATATTGTTCCAAAATTTAAACCTAATTAAAAAAAACAAGGGAACTAATAAAAAGGCGAGCATTCACCATTTTTGACAACAATAAAATATAATAACTTTGGACGCTTCCACCATTTCTTATAACTTGACAACGGGACATTGAGACAATCGATTACTTTTCCAATAAACTATTATTTTTGGCATTCACATGAAAGTGAAAACAAATGCTGAAATACTGTTTGGAGTATCTTACGAAACTGCAATTTTTCACATCAAAAAGGTTAATGAAGATATAAAATTTTTAACTGACGCTACGCCGTAGTTGCTGAGTGTTAAACTTTAATGTGAGAACGTAATATGCAATTCCACTCAGTTTGAGCGGCTTAGTAAGACTCTGCAGCTCTTCTAATTGAAAATTCTCCACTTATACTTTTGTCGGTCGCCAGTTCGAGATTTACAGTCAAGAAAAGGTTCAGTATAAAATGTTTCCATGATTTGTAATTGTAGGTATGTATTTTTAAATAGATTTTGTATGTCACTTCATGATAAGTACATATTTAACGAGGTTTTCTTTCATTCTTTATGTCTAGATTTATGTTTGTATGATAAAATCGTTCATTTGTTAGGTTAGAGTCTACCCCATCTAACCCATCATTTGCCAGATCTCGCAAATAAGAGATGATTAATATATAGTAAAATAGGTTTCGTTCGTAACACTTTGTGCTGACTTATTGTATATACGAGTCTTGTGATGAATTGTCTTTTCTTTGAACACTTGAAATGCAATGCTTCTCGCTTTTCCACCTTTTATTCGCTAAAAGACTCACAACACTTGCTTAATGCACAATCTTAACCTAACACACACGAGATTTCCGTTTCCGCAAGGGGGCGCTGGCGATTTACAATTGAGTGCTCTTCAATTTTATAAGGCACTCGTGGCGTTTCTGGACATTTAATTGTACTACAACTGACTCTTTCAGACATGCCTTGGTTAAGCACGGAGTTGGACCAATCCTAGTTGATTGGGTGCTATTCACTCTGGAGGGTCGGATAGCAACAGCTATGCTGGATGACGTATGCTACAGCGTCATTGTAGCCCGGCAGTGCGGATGTTTATGTGCAAGCCTATGCTGACGATTTAAGTGTGTTGGTGTGGTTGGGGTCGTTTTTGTAAAACGGTCTCGGAATCGTGTAGATTGTGGTAGATATTTCTGCCAATGCTGGAAAGACCGAGCTGATTCTATTCAGTGGTCGCCAACCTTCTCACTGTGTTGAGATACTTTTATAATTTTGGAATACACAGTGAGCTACCTAGTCGTAAGCAATGTAAGCCAACTTAAATGAAATTAGGCACTAATTCTAATACATACTAATAAACTAATAACTAATATATACTACATAACTACATCCATTCCTACCAACCGTAGGTGTTTGAAAAATAAACAATATTTTTCGTCAGCTACAATGGCATGTCACATACAATTTAATAAAGATAACTAAAAATAAAAAACCAACGCACTATTTTAAACAAAAACATGTCCAGATAAAAAATGCGTGTTCAATGAGAAGCCTGACACTCAGACTCACTAACAATTTTTTTAATGTTTGGAGTATAATTTGATACCGCCGTTTGAATTAAACTATCCAAATGTTCATCTGCAAGTCGATTACGGTATTTGTTTCTAATAAACTTCATATTTGAAAAAGAAGATTCACACAAATAGGTTGAACTAAATAACGCTTTTACTTTCAAGGCAACACGACATAAACCTGAATATTTATCGTTACTTACTGAATGCCAGATATATTTTGTATTTGAGACTAGTGATTTTAAAGCTAAAATCATTTTGAAACGCAATCACATTTCTGTCGCAGTGGTGTCTTGGCTAAAATTCTGCGTAACAGAAGTTGCAAACTGTTGGATATCAATTTCCATGAAGGGTGATACAACAAGTTGAAATCCTTGAAACGATTTTTGAAGTTACCCTTCAAGTTAGAGACTATTTATACATGATATTAACTGTCATATGGTTCTAAGGGACATTGTGATATATTTTCTGGATTCCGAGCTGAGATGTCGAGCGATGTGCACGTCTGTGAGCGATGCTCTGATAATTTCATAGTAAACGCTAAATATGTGCTGTGCAAAAGTTGCAAAAAACGGTATCATAGTCAGTGTGTCTCAGTAAAAGATGATGTGCAAAAGTTATTGTTGAAGAACGGTAATTTGTGCTGGCTGTGCGATGTATGCAATTCAAATTTCAAGAGTGTGGCAGAAGATTCCAATGATAAACTGGACTTGTATGTGAAGGAAATAGACTGTTTAAAACGTGAGAAGCAGTTGCTGGAAAAATTATTAAATGAGTTCGAGTTTTCAAATAATCTCTTAAGACGGGTTTACACGGGTCAAGTAATCGGTCAAGCTACTTGCCTTCGCACTTGCGTGGTTGCATTCTACTTTACTTGATTCACCACATCATACAGAAAGAGCGTTTACACGTATTCCAGTAGATCAGCAAGTCGACAGGTAAAACATGGTGGAAAGTCGTATTGTCATTCGAAATTGCGTTATTAATCTCACAAATATTCTCCTGGAAGAAGTGGAAGAAATTCTTGAGGAAGAAAGAAATCCTAAAAAAAGGATATGGTGTCGAGAATGGCTTACACGTAGAGAAAGTCAAGGGGCTTCCACCAATTTAATAAGGGAGCTGAGGTTTGAAGATCCTAAAGAATACAGAATGATGCTCAGAATGACTGCTGAAAAATTTGACTATTTGTTAGGCTTAATAACTCCATTAATCCAACGAGAAAACACTATTATGAAAGACGCTATCAAACCAGAAACAATGTTGGAAGTAACCTTAAATTACCTAGCAACTGGTAATAATTATAGAACCCTTTCTCATCTCTTCCGAGTTTCTAAATCAGCGATATCTATCATGATTCCCATTGTTTGTCAAGCTGTGTACGACTGCTTAAAGGATTTTGTAAAGGTATGTGAATAGATAATAATAGAACATTTTTAAATTTTTATTTTTTTAAATTTTCATTTAGGCTTCTTAATAAAAAACAAACAAATCCAATTGTAACATTTTAGTTTGTCAAGTTCCATGCTTGCGAGATAATATCTGCGATAGCAGCATCATCATTTGCAACTGTGTCCTCGTTCATAATCGGATGATCAGTGCTGTATGCAGGAGTAGTTGCAGGAGGTGAATCCCTAGAAAGGGTTGGTGATTGAATTGCAGTTAACGCGGAAGCCTCACAAGCAGAACTGCTCTTATTTAAGGCATTCAATGGATATTTTTGTATCACTCTTTGAAGTGCACCTTGCGCCATGATTGAATCAGCAGGGGGCAGTTTATCTAAACTGGCTGCAATAAACTTGCCAAAAGCTTCATTGTCACTGATGGATTGAGAAGTTATTAATGTTTCCTGGGCTTTTCGGACCTCTGCAACAGCTTCAGTTAAGGCTTGTAGCCGTGGTTTTTTATTTTTTGATCCTGCTTCTACTCGAGAACCTTTCTTACCGGTCGATTCTACTCGGGAGCATGTTTTGCTGGTCGAAGGTCTTGTAGGAGTTTGCAAGAGAGTTGGAGATGGTTCTTCAATGACTTGTTCCTCTAGCAGACCTTGTTCATTTTCGCTAGGTGGAGCGATTTCTGTCTCCTGAAATGAATGAAATACTAATTTAATACTTCTCATTTGCTCAATGATTAATTAATCATACAAATTATATGGTATATGGTATACGGTAATTAAATGGTTTTGGAATCTTAGTAAGTAGATTTCGTGTTTTTGAAACAAAAGTAAAGATAAAAGTGTCCTCTGTGAATAAACTAGTTAGTGCTGCCATTGCAATTCACAACTGGCTACGAAAAACGTCACCAGATCAATACTTCAATAATGCACAATTGGTTGATTGTGAAAACCAACACATTGGCGAAATAATACCTGGACAGTGGAGACAAGCGATACGAGAACTGAGAAACATACAGGGGGGAACTGAGAGGAGGGCGTCGGAGATGGCAAAACACATGCGAAACAAAATGAGGGATTATTTCATTTCGGAAGAAGGAGCAGTGCCTTGGCAACGCAATTTTATAAATTAATTACCAGTTAATAAAGAAAAAATATACACTTTTGACTTACTATGCTTTCCGTTTCATTTTCAGCTGTGTAGCTATCCATTATTTCTTCCATTTGTCGGAACCACTTGACGGTTGGAACGTATATATCATCCGGTTTGCCTCCTGATTTCTTAGACTTTTTAACTTTCAGCGCTTCCTGATTATAAGTTGTTCTCATTATCTTTATTTTTTGCTTTAATTCTGTCACTCCAAAACCTTCCTTTCCCATCCTGTTCACGATGTCCTCTTCAGCTGCTTTTCCCATGTTTTTATTGCGATAATTTACACTACTCTTCTTCCATAAACACTCTTTTTCACTATAGAGTTCAACGAAACGCATGGTTTCTTCTTCTGACCACTTCATCTTGTACAAATTAAACCTCAATTCACAATTCGTAGTATACCAAAATCACCAAAATTATTTGGTTATCTGTGATCAAAATGGATAGGAAATCTGAAAAACCCCAGACAGTACAAATCCACATTCCATGCGCAGGAACTTGTTTACTTAGTTGCTTTGTCTGTTTACATTGGTAAAGTAGACGGTCAAGTTGGCGATCCAATGATAAAGTAGAAGTGGGGGTAGCAGTCAAGTAAAGTTACTTGTTCACCGTGCAGAACCACTTGACTTGCCTCGTCACTTGACGCAAGTCGCTACTTTACTTGACCGAAATTGTTCATACAATGCAAGTAGAAAAAAATACTTGACTTTACTGCTCAACTTGACCGTTTACTTGACCCGTGTAAACCCGTCTTTAAAATCCAAATATAATATCGGAGAGAAATCCTCTGACACAAAAACAGTGGGAACTCGCTCCGTAAAAACGTCAGTGTTTTCGTACAGCAGTGCTCTGAAAAAAGAAAAAGAAGCAGCTGTTTTGCTAATTAAATCTAATGAAAACAAAGATGATATTGACGTTATTAAATCGATTAAGGACAGCATCAATCCAGCTGAAATAAAGGTATGTGTTAATGGTACACGGAAAACAAAGCAGGGTGCAGCCGTTTATTGCAGAAACAATGACGACCTGCAAAAATTGAAAATTGCGCTGAGGTCTAAATTAGGGGCGAAGTATCACATTAGTGAACCCGTAAAGTATAACCCTCGCATCCTTGTAAAAAACTTTGTGAGTGATGAAGAGCTGGACATGGATGCTAAACTAGTTGATAATATTGTTAAGCAGAATGGCATTGATGTAAATGATGCCAGCATGAAAGTTGTTACTATGCTGAAGATAAGTAGTGCCCATCATCTAATTTTGGAGCTTTCTCCACACGCCAGAAAGCAAATTATTGATAAAGGCTTCATATACGTTGGTTGGAGAAGATACAAGGTTGTTGATCATATCAACATAATTCAGTGCCATAAGTGTTGTGGTTTTGGTCACAGTGCAAAAAATTGTAGGGCTAATTCCGTGATTTGTCTAAAATGTTCAGGTAGTCATGTAGTGAAGGATTGTAAAGGTGATATGGAAAAATGTATAAATTGCCATAAACATAACGAAAAATTTCATACCAAGCATGGTACTACTCACAAAGCAAATGACAAAGAATGTCCAATGTATGCAACATATTTTCAAAATCTTAAAAGTAGAGTAAACTATGGCAGCTAGAGAATGTGTTTTGAAATTTGGCCACCTCAATGTACGATCTCTTATGTCGGACTTTGATGCAGCTGTCAACTTGGTAAATACTGATGACTTGGATATATTTGCAGTGACAGAGACGTGGCTCAACACTGACGTCACTGATAATTCTGTAAGTATCAATGGCTATGATCTCTTTCGTCGTGATAGGGAAGCGCGCGGAGGTGGTGTGGCAATTTACTTTAAGTCTGACTTGCGTGTTGAATTTTTAGACCTAGATGCGCAAGCAAGCAATTGTTTGGAATGCTTGTGGGTAAAGATGACCATCAATAGGCGAATAATTGTTATAGGGGTGATGTATAGGCCGCCAGGGCAAAATATCAATGAATGTGTTAGGTTGTTGGATGCCCTTTTACCTGAGGTTTCGGGTAAGTTTGATAATGTAGTTGTAATGGGTGATCTAAATGTTGATTTTTTGAAACAAAATAACATAATCTCTCCTTGTTTCAATTCAACTGGATTTGTCCAATTGGTTACCTCCCCAACCCGTGTAACGCAGCACGCAGCAACATTACTTGACCCTATATTTACCACCAACCCAGATATTTTTGGTGACTGTGTTGTACTTGATGCAGGTTCGGTATCTGATCATAAACTTGTCATGTGTCAGCTTAGGTTAATTAAATTCAAGAGAAAGCAAAATATTGTAACTTTCAGGGATTTTAAATGTTTTGATGATGCAGCATTCCTTAATGATCTCGCTAATTCCTCCGTCGATGATCAAACATTGACAGTAAAGTTGACCATTTAACAAATATCCTAGTCGAATTATTCAATAAACATGCTCCACTCAGATCTGTACGTGTTTCTAAGCCACCTGCGCCTTGGCTGACTGATGAAATAAAAAAGGTATGCACGCTAAAGTTACTGCGTTAGCAAGATATAAGCAAGATAAGACTGCAATTAATTATGAAAACTATCGTCGCATTAGGAATAAAGTCCTTATTGATATTCGAAAGGCAAAAAAAGAATATCTGGCAGTACTTTCTGAGCAAAATGAATCGAGGAAGATTTGGTCAGGCATAAATAAACTTAATATAAAGTCTTGTAACAAATATACTTTGCCTGATAACATCAGTGATGTTAATCTGATAAACAGGTATTTCATGTCAGTTTATAATGTTGATAGTGTGCCGGAAAATGTGTGCGAGTTTTATAGAAGCAATAAACTAAATCCGTCTAATTCTTTTTCTTTGAGAATCTTAAGTCCTCAAGAGATCTTTGATATAGTAAAAGGTCTAAAATCAGACGCTAAAGGCCTTGATACGCTGTCAATTACAATGATCAAAGTTAGTTTACCAATAATATTTTATCATATTGTACACATAGTTAACACTTGCATTGAAAGAGGCTTGTTTCCCAAAGCCTGGAAGAATGCATTGATCTTACCAACGCCAAAAAACAATAAACCTACTGATGTTACTCATCTAAGACCCATAAGTTTGTTGCCTGTGTTGTCAAAAATACTGGAAAAAGCAGTTCAGTTTCAAGTAGAGTCTTTTATTGAATATAATGGCATCATTCCTTTAAATCAATCTGGATTTAGGAAATATCACAGCACAACCTCTGCATTATTAAATCTGTGCGACAACGTTATAAGAGCTATGGACAAAAAAATGGCGGTTTCCCTAGTTTCAATTGACTACTCCAAAGCATTCGACAAAATTAACCATGTGCTTTTACTTTCTAAGTTAAAGTACATTGGATTTGACAATATAGCTATCCAATTCTTCAAAAACTACCTCTCACACCGTATGCAGTGCGTTTCTGTAGGCAGCAGGCTATCAGAAGTCAGTATGATACCATCAGGAATCCCTCAGGGCTCCATACTAGGCCCTGTGTTATTTCTCATATACACTTTTGATTTGCACAAATCTGTCGCACATTCCGATTTACTAAGCTTTGCTGATGACACTCAACTCATTCATTATTTTGACGCCTCTTGTTCGCAGGATGCTGCTGCCTTATTAGAGCAGGATCTGAGCAAAGTGCAAAAATATTCAAGTGACCATAATCTAAACATTAATCCAGATAAGACTCAAATATTACTATTTTGTTCCGACGCAAGGAGAAGTGTCGTGGAGAATACATTTAAAGTTAACCTTGATGGTTCGCTGCTGCAGATTGCTAATTCAGCTACAATTTTAGGTGTTGAAGTAGATAGCAAATTGAGATTTAGGGAGCATGTTATGTCCTTAGCTAAAAAAACGTATGGTCGAATGAGAGCGT